CCCCAACCCACCCCCTCCCAACCGACCCACCATGCAGGCTATCAGGCGACTGCGCGGCAGCTGCTCGTGGAGGGCACCGTCCCGCAGCCCCCAGCGGCTTCATTGCTTTACGAAGCCCTCCACAACCTCACGCTCAGGTGCGGCATTAAAATCGGGATCCGCGGGTGCGCGCCTAATCTATTGCCTGCTTCATATTCTTTGCATGCACAAAGGTGCCGCCGCGCTCATGTGACCCCGGCCCAGCCGCAGCCGGCGCAACAGCCGCACGTGCCCCCCCTGGGGTCATGGCGCAGCCCGCTGCGCCTCCTGTGGACGCGAAATGGGGGGCCCTAAGCGCTGCTTTTTGGGCGCTGCGCCTTGGTCCGCGCGACCCAGGGCCGTCCCGCGCGCGCCTGAAGCCTTTAGCGTCTCGTCCGCCTGAAATCACCCTCTTGCCCTCCGCCGCGGCTCCCCCTCAGATATGAGTGCCGGAATGCGGCCGTGCACCTGCCAACCCCTGTGGCGGCCGACGCGGCGCGCCACTCCCAGCAGCAGCTGCTGCCTGCGGTCGCAGCAGCCAGCAGCCGAGCAGCGGCCGACAGCTGCGCCGCCCGCAGCGCCTGGGGTGAAGGGGAAGAACATCCCCCTCAAGGCATCCGGGCGAAGGCCGCCGCCGCGCTTCGTGGCGCCGCGTCCGCCGGCGCGGCCGCGCTGGCCGGCGCACGCGCGCGGGGCGGGGCGGGCAGCGATGGCGCGGGGTTCATCACGGGCAGCGTCGACGCGCCCGACCCCGGCTACTCGAGATTTGCCGCGCCCCCGCCGGTCGCGGCGCCGGCCGCGCGGCCGGCCGCGGGCTCGTTTGGGGAGGAGTTTCGGCTGCCGTCTGCGCCGCGGCACGTGTACGAAACTGAAGAGCGGTGGGAGGAGGAGGGCAGCGAGGGAGAGTACGAGCCGCAGCTTACGTGGGACTGATTGCATGTATACGTATACACAGAGCAGACGGTAAGGGGACGGCGTGTTGCCCGCCTCGGCCGCCGCCGCCGACCCGATCATCATCATCAGATTGGATGGAGCTCCCTGCGCAACCGCAAGCAGGCGGCGCGCCCCCGGCGCGCCGCGCCGCAGGGCGCGTATCACGAATAAGCCGCGGCCGGCCGGCGGAAGTTGAGGAGACGCCGCTCCGGATCTCTCGCCGCCAGGCGGGCGCAGGGCGTGGCATCGGGGGCAGCGCGTCGCAAATCCGGCGCCCGCCGTGGGGCGCCTGTACTGCCAGCCCCCAACCCCAGGCCCCCAAAAATACAGGCGGCCCGCTGCACCCACGATGAAGCCTCGACCTTCATCCTGACCCCGCAGCTTAACCAGCATCACTGGCGGGCACCCTGCTGCCGCGGCGCGGCGCGTCCGGGCCGCGCCGCACGGAGAGGCGCCCCATGTGTACACTATCACCCGCAGTATCGATCGCGCAAGGCACGGGCCGCACAAACGTTTTTGCTTGGGTTCGGGGTTTTGGTCGCGCCGCGCCATTGACTTCATAATCAGGAATGACGTCAGCCGCGGGCTCACGCAGCTGCCGGGCAGGCGGGTGGGGGCCCCAGGCGGTCACTCGGCCCGCTCATCGGCTGCGACCTCGCAAGCACAGTCAGCACCTTCCATCATTATTTACCTTTGTACTCCGCACCCAGCTTCCAGCCCTTTTTGTATTCTGCAGCGTTGTTGTTTTTTGCACGCGGTTGTAAACTAAACCCCCAGTGTGACGCGCGCGGGGGCTGATAGGCTTTGGGCAAAGGCAGAGCCGCCATGCGCTGCGATTTGGGGCGGCCCTGGCGTTGCGGGGTGCACCGCAGCGTTGGCCCCGCCCGGCCCAGCGGCTGCAGCCGGACGAGCAGAAGCAGCAGCAGCAGCAGCAGCAGCAGGAGGAGCAGCAGCAGCAGCAGCAGCAGCAGCAGCAGCAGCAGCAGCAGCAGCTCCCCGTGATGAGCTTCCCGGTCTGCTTGCCGGCATGGGTCGCACTTGCGGCGACGGCACTGCAAAAGCCGCGGCCTGGGTGGGGCCTGCCCAGCGCCAGCCCCAGCCCCATTCCCATCCCAATCCCCATCCCCAGCCAGCGATGCACAACCCCCCAGCCCCAGCCAGCGACGCACACATCCTGAGCTGCCACGCAACCCATTACTGCCTGCGGCTGGCGTATCGTCACCCACCACAAAAACATGTGCAGCAGCGTCGCACGGCGGGTGCTGATTACCGCAGAATTGCGATGGTTTAATTGTGAATGGCCGCTGCGTCGGCCAGGATGCATGTTGAAAAGGCTACTGCGACACGTACGGCGCCACATGTATGGCGCCAAACAATCCCACATGATCCGCCGCCACGTCCAGGCAGCTGCACAAGCACCAAACTTCAAAACAAGCAGTCTGTGCTGACCGAAGCGCGGTGCCGGAAGCGAGGGGACGCCAGGGGTCAAAAGTGTTTGCCCGGTCAGCGCGACAGCGCACGCCTGGACAGGCGCCGCCGCTCGTCAGCGTCTGCCGCCGGCTCCTCCTCATCCTCCTCCGCCGCCGCCTCCTCGTCGCCGCCGCCATCCTCCTCGCCGGCCCCCTCGTCCTCCGCCGCCGCCTTCTTGCTGGCCCCACCCTCCTCCTCTTCCTCCTCCGCCGCGGCGGGCTCCCCTTCCTCGCCACCCTCCTCGTCTTCAGCGGCGGCGTCGCCCTTCGCCTCGGCCCCCGCGCCCGCGTCCTCCACCCCCTCCTCCTCGGCCGCAGCCGCGTCCTCACCCGCCCCCGCCTCCTCAACTTCCACCGGCGGCTTGACCCTCCTACCTCTGCTCCTGCCCCCTCGCTTCCGGGCCTTCCCATCCCCTCCGGCCCCCGCGCCCTCGCCGGCCGCCTCGTCGTCCGCCGCCGCCGCGCCGCCCTTGCCGCCGCGCTTCTCCGCCGGCGCCTCTTCCTCTGCAGCGCCGACCTCCTGGGCCCCGGCTCCCTCCTTTGGTGCCGCCTTTTGGGGCGGCTCCTGCAGCACCTTGCTGTCGTCCCTGTTCTCTGTGTATTCGAGGCTCGAGAAGAAGTCAGCCGTGCCCCAGCTCTGGACCTGTTGTGGGCGGGGTGGCGTCGAGAAGAGTCGGCGCAAGCCAGCTACGCGTTGTTTGGTGTGTGTGTGTGTGTGTGTGTGTGTGTGTGTGTGTGTGTGTGTGTGCGCGCGTGCGTGCGTGTGTGAAGGAGGGAGTGTATGCGTGGTGATGTGTGGGCATGTTTGCCGTGCAAGTGCATGTGCATGTGCATGTGCATGTTCATGAGTGTGCGTGCGTGTGTGTGTGTGCGTGAGAGAGTGTGTGTGTGTGTGTGTGTGTGTTTTGGGGGAGGGCGTTGCATGAGGAGGGTGTGCAGTCAAGACCCACTCCACCTTTTTGGGGACTGCGAGGGTCTTGACCAGCCGCGGCGGGGGCGCCAGCCCGCCCTCCGGCTCCTCATACGCCACAAACGGTAGGCTGCCCCGGATGGTCGCCTTTGGGGGGGGGGGGTGACAGGCGGCGGGTTTCAAAGACGGGCGTCCTGCGCAGCGGGGCCAGCGGCGGCGGCACCCAGGCACGCGTGGCAGG